GCATTCATTATTATGAATGAACTTTTTCATTGAATTTAGAAAATAAATAGCATTTACAAATATTGGTTAAAATAGTTATATTTTGGTATTTTATACATATTTTTTCAGTATACATTTAACATTTTTTTCTTGACTAGTTTGAATTCATTTTTAAAATCACTTCTAAATAAATGCTGTACAGAAATATTAGTTAAAATAGTCACTTTTAAAAATTTGTATCCATATTTTTTTCAGATAATATATGATCAAATATATGAAGTTTTTAATAAATTTTTCAGTGAACTTTCAAATAACTTAAAATAAATAGAGTTTTGGGTTACAATAGTCATATTTTAGTATAATAAAAAATAAATAGTATGCAAATATATTGGTTCAAATAATCAGAGTTTTTTATTTTATCAATACTCTTTTCAGCGTTTTTCTTGTCTCATCCAGTATCTTGAGTTGCCATTTTTGGGAATGTTCAAGATATGTGCAGCACAATATGTGTGTAAATGCTGAGAAAGAGAACGTCTTGTTAATATGGTACATTGCCGCCTAGTCAGACTAATGATTTTAAATTGTTAACTGCCCTCTGGTCATAGCTCCGCGGATTTCACAATATTTTAAAATCAGTCGTCCCATATGAAAGCCAGCGTTAACAAATGACATTTGAATCAACCTCTGTGATCGAGTACCATAATGGATTAAATAGCCCTGACATTTCAACACATGCGCCACATTTTACCTCTCATCTGTCACTGTTACACCACATGACCTCTGTGCTTTTAATCTCTCTCTCTCTCTCTCTCTCTCTCTCTCTCTCTTTCTCTTTATTCTCTCTCTCTCTCTCTCTCTCTCTATGATTGCGATGTCCAGCTCATTTGTATGCTGTCCTAGTCTGACTATCTTGCTGGTGGCTGGAGCCAAAGTTGTGGCATAGGATAGATTTGAATAGATATTAGACTGAATCTCACAAAACTGTCAAGACCACGTCTGGGTCTTATATCATAAGAAATTATATTTTGTTTAAAGAAAATGAAGCCTATTTTTAGGACCATGAAGATTTTTGTTTTGCACTGTGACATTATTACATCACAGTAAAGCACATTCCTCCCAATTCTTATTACTCAGTTCTAAATAAATAAATACATCTCATTCTTATTACTGTAGACTGGAGAATGTTTGGGAATTTTCTTTTCTTTCTGATAACAAATAATTATTTTTGTTTTTCAGAAATGCTTATTTCACCTTTGTCATGCAAATAATGTCAACAATCTTAATACCACTTCTGTAGAGGCAAAAGTGTTTTGCATGCTTCTTAAGTAGTATTTGAAGATGTGTAATATAAAGTAGGACCCAATCAATCAATCAATCAATCAATCAATCAATCTCATTGCTGTAGACTGGAGATCATTTAGAATGTTGTTTATTTATTTATTTTTTCATTTTGCAATTCTATTTGTTGCACAGAAATAACATTTTGCTTAAAGGGGTCATATGATGCTGCTAAAAAGAACATTATTTGGTGTAATGAAATGTGTTTATGCGGTTTAAAGTAAAAAGAACACATTATTTTCCACATACTGTACATTATTGTTTCTACTCTATGCCGCCTTTTTGAAACGCGTCGATTTTTACAAAGCTCATCGGTCTGAAAAAGTACATATATTGTAGTGTGTATACACACACACACACACACTAACACCACTAAAGGTATGTATATATCCATCTCAGGAACCACACGCCAGTGATTTGAGTCTTATCGCTCAGAGTCTTACCTCAAGGTATCTTGGAGAGGTGAAGTGTCCAAGTCGCAACATCTAGCTACTGGGGTGCCTCAGGGCTCAGTTCTTGGACCACTTCTCTTCTCTGTCTACATGGCATCACTAGGTTCTGTCATTCAGAAACATGGCTTTTCATATCACTGCTA